TGTGTATGTGTGTGTGTGTGTGTTAAGTTTATATGCCTTTCTTAAATTCCAGTAAATTCTCAAGTAAATAATTCTTTTCCCTGCTGTTTGTGCCATTGGTTTTGCAATTTTTCCTAAAATCTAAAATCGGTGACAGAAATCATGATTCAACGTTCTCTCTTTAATATAAATCTCTGCTAAAACCATCAGTACTATGAAAGCCCAAGTCGAAGTCGGAAAATAAAATAAGTGAAAAAAAATTTTCAACAATTTTATTACAATCGATTCAAGTTAAAATCACGTTGACCATTTTTGGCAAATAATCGTTGCATATATAACCATAATTTTATAGATGTGTATGTCTCTCTGCCTCACTATTCCTTTCCCCTACATATATATTTATAACATAAAAAAAAAACACAAAAAAACCTAGAGATGGAAAGTCACGATATTATAATCGATTTCGATAGCTATTATCGATATTGAAGGCAAATGCCTTCAATTTCAAGCAAGAAATACATCCGTTCCTATGGTGAACTATGTTACAAGTACATAATATCATGCAGTTTCGTGTCGACAATCAAGGCAATAAGCTAAAGTGGTAAAAAGACAAAATGAATGAGCACAAATAGGTACAAGCGGGCGCGAGTGAGTACATGTGATCATTGTGCATAGACAGACGGAAAAAAGATAGGAATCAACATAAGCAGATGCAGATGGTCGCTTGATATAAATGCACACTCGCAAGGTCACGATTCAGCATGAATGGACGCAGACAGTAACGAAATAGCAGGGATCGTAACTTGGTATAGAAGGCCACGTATGGACTCGGAAAGGCATAAATGAGAGCGGATAGGTACATGGCACATGGCATAGATGGGCACAGATGGACTTGGGAGAGCATGAATAAGCCCAAGTAAGCACACACGGCCACGAATCAGTGCAAACGGGTACGCATGGGCATGGATGGGTGCGATTGGGCAAAAATAGCTCAGATACGCACGAAACATGACTAGGTAAAGCCTTGCCTGACTCTATTTTGAAAGAAACAAACAAAATTACCATTAAAATGATTTCTTTGCACTTTTACATATTCTCGAACGTGATGGTTCACGGCAAATAATATGCAAACAGTCTTGAAATATATGTACTGCCGTCAACGAGCTCTTGCCAATCAAATTTCAACCTCATGCAAAGAGAAATTGTTACGCATAAGTTTGTGGAAGATGGTGTTCTCTTCTAAGAATGCAGTAACGTTTCCAAGAAATCATCGAACATTATTGTCTACCCATTTACAAGTTCTCTTTCTTGAAACTCTTTCATTTAACTGTGAACGAGAATAAGCTTTGAAAGCATTTTCTTTACATCGAAGCTTTCGATCAATAATTTTGATTAAACTCTTTATCTTATATTTCATTATTCGTTTAATGCAATGTATTTTGCACTGTAGCATGCGCGATTATGAATAGTGAATAGTCTCCTGTCACTTGTAACGAAATGGAGAATTGTCGTGAAATGGTTTGAAACTAGCGGAGGGACGTTAATAGGCGGACATAATAAAAATCGAGAGTTAATTTGTAGAAAGTAATAAATATGTAGTGTCTCAGAGTCAGCACAGCTAAGCGGAAAAGAAAGTGGATAAGAAAGACGTTCTTTAAATTGCTCTGATTCTGATCGATATTTTTGATTATTGCGAACGAATGGAATTTTATAATCCTTTCGTAGCAATGGATAAATAATATAAGAAACGGGACTAAGTTAAGTTTTATCGAAAATTCCACTTGAAGAGATTACTTCTTTTTGTCCGAAAATATGATTTATATTTCATAAAAAGTCGGCGATTGGGTTTTTTTCTCCAAGAAATCAGCTGCTGGGCCATTAGTAAATACACTCGATATTAGAATCATTTCTTGTACTTTAGCTTTAAGTACCATGGACTGTTTTTAAAGCATGAGTACTATGACGGAAAATTTTATCTTGCAAGTACGAAGTCTCAAATCAATGGACACACATTCAAACAGCGGAAAGGTATATCTACATGTTGGAATACACGAAGAGTGATGAAGAATTTTAATCTTAAAATTCATTATTTGTAAGATTGCTATGAATGTTATGTAAATTAGCCTTCCCCGAGTCTGTTTGGTTTGAATGAATCATTGCTTCTTCTTCTTCCTTTGTTATCAATCCATTACTGAATATAAGCGATCTTATGCTTTTTTTTTTATAAGTCATGATATTATTGTGAATCAAAGTCCGAAAATATTTCTGGCCTCTTTACTTTCTGTACGATTTGGCCTATGGGCCTTGGTCCTGGTCCATTTCAAATATTACGTAACAACAACATTTGCATACTCACCATGCTTCTTTGGCCTTCGACACGGTCTATCACTACTAAGGACACGAGTTCATAATTTTCTTCATGTGCCATGCGTCCAAAACATGCAGTTTTTCTTTAGTACCTTAAGTTCTGAGTTTATCCGTCCCAGAATTTTAGCATTATATACGCGATCCGGCCATAAATCGCTTTCAGATCGTTCAATGTATTGATTAATCATTGCTCACCATATGTTATTCAATATTTTATCAATAATGTATCGTTTTAATTAAATTTGAAATATTAAATGTATAAGATAAATTCGGACTGAGACGAATTAAGATTCAAATAAAGACGCAGAAAGTTTTTCGCAAATGAAGAAACAGTTATAAACATAAATATTGACTACATTACATTGAATTGATTTTCGCTTAGGTTCCTCCATATATATTTACTATCCCTTAAATATAGAAATGCAAGCCTGCGACTTTAAACAATGAATTTTATCTTGTTTTAGCATATGCGCAGACTTCATAATCATCGTGATCTAGTTATCAAACGTGCGCGGATAAACAGGAAGCAGAACTGTAAAATAAATTTCAGATTACAGAAGGACATGTACATATATTTGTTTCAATTTTTTCTTTCTTAACTAAAATTATCGATAAATATTAAATTGTCATCTTTAGCGTCTTACACTTTGAATTGTTTTACCTTAAAAAAACCAAACCTGTGAACATTATTGTTGCTGATATGAAGTAGTAGTTGGCGAGGATATTGTTGTTCATTCAAGGAGAAAGAACAAGAGTAATGACAACAGCATCGCAACAACACACATATACAATAGCCTTTTTGAGAACAACAACTCAACAAGATTGGTAGTGATCGTGAACAATGCTATAAATGCCATTTTTGGTTCACTGAATATTAACTTTTTCACCTACAACTGCTTGAACACACGCACGCATTCACTATAGAAACTATAGAAACATATGTATGTACATAAAAATTTATGATACATAATCGTATGATAATTTAGATAAACAACATAGCATTTTGCATATATATGCATTTATTGGATCTGATTTAAAAATGTTCAGTCACTTAACCAAGATTTCTTTATTTACTTGCAAGACTTGCAAGGCAGAACAAAGCGAAATGAAAATGAAAAAAAGAAAAAAAAAAAAAAAAAATATGAAATAGAAAAAGAACAAAACACATATCGATTGCATGGTAACAGTGAGAATCGTGTCTTTTTGCAGGAGTATAAAAAACTCCATCCAATAAGTTGTTATGCTATTATAGCAGTTTTTCCTTCTTATTTTTTGTAAGGTGTTTTAAAAATTATATTTATAAATATATTAAATTTCTATGATTTAAGGCGAATTTTTGAAACCCGATTATAGACATAAACACACATATGTATTAAGTTTGGAAAAGTACAGCAGTCTCATCATCATTTGATTCAATTATCGTTATTTCAACAATATCATCCATCGTATCATATATATATATATATATATATATATATATATATATATATATATTTATAACTGTGTTTATCTGTGAAATGTTAAAAATTATTTGAAAATTATCTTGTCACGTTGCAGTCGACGTGCCGCTGCTGAAATCATTGTATTAAGGCCTCCCGCCACCATATTTGGCATATGCATGGCATATAAAAAACGAAAGAGGAAGAGAAAGAAATCAAACATTTGCTGACTTTTCGGATGACGTAAATTTAAGCCGTCTGTGATTATGTGCATCCGTTTATATTGTGTTTGCACTTAGATCATATAAATCCATTAGCAGTTTTGTTTCGTTTCTTTTCTTTATTTTTTTTATTTTTTTTTTATTTATTTATTTTTTTTTTGCTTCGCTTTTATTGAACATTCAATGACAGACAAGGAGCGCCATGTCAAAAGTCAATTCGTTTTAAAGTTGCTTTTGTCTTCTTTTAGCTTTTTTTTCTGCGATGCCGGCACACATTGATAGAAAAAGGTTGCGTCGTCG